TTGGACCAAAGGCCAGAAACTTGTGTGCCATACGGTCAACCAGATGCTTATAAGAAGCCCGCACGAAGACTCAACCAGTGGGTGTCCAGTGGTCCTCAGTATGAGTGGATCTTTGCATTTCTTATCCCTGTCAAGCTGCACTAGAGAGTCAACCTCATTACTTCCAAGTAAACATGCATAAGATTGCACTGTCAGTCTTTTACACAAGGGCCAGAGAGAGGCCCTGATGCAGCAGCATGCTATGTAAGGTCAGTGCTCATATCTGCAACAATATCCCAACTCTGATCTCCTCTTAACTGCTTCATATAATATCCCGTTTGTATGGCTGTGCCATTGCAGCTAACCTAGTGATGGCTGGAAGACCTGTGATAAGGCATCTGAGACATCTCTGCTCCTCTCCAGTCCTACTCCTCTGTGCATGAACCATGGGCAGAAAAGTGGAGGCTTAATGAAATGCCTGATGGTTTTAGCCAGAATGTGCTTAGTTATTTATTCAATATATTTAAGCTGTCCTACAGCTCACATCCTCTGAATTTTCCACCCTCTCCTTCTGTAACTTCCTAAAAACAGCTAAGGAGAACATCACAAAGGGGTTAGGGGCTTGGCCCTCTGTATAATGTGAACACTGCTGCTACTGCTACCTGTTTCGTGTCACCACCTTGGTTTGCTTTGGCCCCAGTGCTTCATGCTTTTAGTGGTGCCCTCCAAGAGCTGAACACTCCGATCAGCTTCCTGACTAGTTTACAATATTGGAACTACATCACAAGAAGCACTTCCTTGCAAGAACATTGGTGCTGTGTCACAATGGCAGTTTCCATCAGCACACAGGACCATCGCCAAAGTGAAGGATAAGATGGCCCACACAACCCTCATTCCACAAGGTGCCTGGAATGACAGCCAATATGTCTTCAACACTGGGGACGGGTCAGTATTCGTTACCGCACCGGAAGAAAGCAAGATGGCTTAGAAGGTGAAGGGCTCTGTCCTCACTCCTGCGCCCCCAGCACCTGGCACTGAGGTGTCTGCTGTTTGGACCTGGTTGCTCCCCCACAACCTCTCCCTCTTCCCCTTCCACGCAGATCAAGAGAGGCTTCTAAGGACAGTCGTTTAGTATGTTGAAGTGGGCTAGCCAGGACTGCCATTGTGATACAAAGAGGTTAATGCAAAGGTAGTCAACCAAAAAGTCCAGCAAGTTAATGAGCCAGCTAATTAGAGAGTACTGCTCATGCTAGAAGATTATTTCAAACTAAATCCCTTCCCCACCAAACATAGTTATCCTCACCCTCAGGGAGGTTCAAGCTGCTTGTGGGCTAGACAATGGGAATACCAGCCATTACATAATTAACTTACACTCTTGACCTGACATTGAACAATGGGACTAATTAAGCTACAACCGTCCTCATCTGGCCTCCTTGTTCCACAGTGTCTCCCCCCTCACTCCAAATCAGAGGTGGGCTAGTTCTCATCATCCACTTGACTTATCCCAGAGCTCTCTGGCCTTGAAATTTCAGCTGAACATTCGCACCCCACCTCTTCTTCCAGTTCAGAGCCAGATTCTGAGATTTTGGAATGCTGTATTTTGGGAAAAGTAGGTCCAGTCCGCCTCATATCGCTTAATGACAGGTCTGGCCCTGCAAGAATAGCCCAGTGACTAGAATTGCTGTAAGAAAATAGATGAATTTGATAAAAGATTCACAGCATCCTTCTTATTACAATGGGCTTTTCCCCCCTTCCAGATCTCTCAGTATTGGCCTCTTACATAAATTATATTTTTTTATGCAACTAGCGCCCTTCAGATGCTTTGAAGTTCAGTACCCATAAGCCTAATTTAATATGGTCAATGTGGGATTATGGCAGCTGTTGTCCAACACAACTAGAGATACCTCTACAAGTACCTCAAAGGCTGCCACAAAGAGGAAGGTCAAGATCTCTTCTTGCTGATACCAGAGTGTAGGACACGGAATAATCAATTCAAGTCACAACAACCCAGATTCAGGCTGGACAACAGAAAAAGCTTCCTTGCTATCAGAACAATATGACAGTGGAACCAGCTGCCTAGAGAGGTGGTGGGCTCTCCCACACTAGAGACATTCAAAAAGAAACTGGACAGCCATCTGAGTGGGATGGTGTAAGTTGGTGATGTGCAACAGCAGGAGGTTGGACCCGATGGCCTTCATGGCCCCTTCCAACTCTACTATTCTATGATCCTATGATCTCCAGGTTGCCTACTCAGGTGCTAGTGTCTGAAAGCTGGGTCTGTTCGGTGAATGGAGAATAATGGTGTGATACAACAACCCTGGTTCTGCACCTGTTGCTGAGATATTGCTCAAAGCCTTGCACAAGCAAATATGGCCAGAGGGCTAATTCTACACTGGGCTAAATTTCTGCTATGTAAAAGGAGCCATAACCAGGACAGCCCATTGCTACTCCATTGTGCTTTTTACAGGTGGGTAATTACAATGGATGAATTAATTGAAAGCCATTAATGCAATACATCTGGGACTCCAAGATGAGCATTCCAGATGGAAGAGGTCATTAACTTGTCCTTCAGGGACCCCAGCATCAGCCTGGTAATTATTGTAATAATACCCCATACTCGATTGTTTGCTACAGCTTCCTGCAATAGGAGGATGTTGTATTGTCAAGTGACTGCAGCAAGGAACTGGTTTCAATTTTTTAAAACAATCCAAGCAGCAGTTGCTTTCTTGAATCTCAGGAAACTTAAAGATCTACAGGAAACTATTTCCTGAAAGCAGTTTGACACACATGAAAGGACACCTTTTCTCTCAAAGAGATTTAAAATCTTCAGTGCTATGGATTTATCATCGTGTTTCTGCTCTTCCCCACCTCACTAAATGGCTACATGAATACCATTCGTCCACCACATTATCAAATTTGTTCAAAAACCTGTCCCAACAAAATAAAGTCATCTATTTTCCTTCAGATTAGCCTGTTGATTCTGCACAATACAAAAGCCAGTGGTGAGCAAACCTGCACTGTTTTAAATAAAACTCATTTCTAAGCATGTGTTTGTGGGTCTGGGTGTCTTAAAACTAGTTGCACAATCAGCCTGCATGCTTCTCAGAGCAGGTAGCATCAGGGATTCAAGGTCAACTGGAATCTTTGACATGAGCAAAAGATGTTTCCATGAAAATTCGTATCATTGTATTGTATTTCTAATACGTGTGTTTTGTATGTGTTTGTCTAATATACACATTTATTTATGCATAATATACACATTTATTTGCAAGCAGTCTTCCTAAAGAAGAATTTTAATGTTATTTCTCCTAATATAAACATGTTTGGACATATTTTTGATTGGAGAACTCCATGGCAAGATTTGAAGTTGAATTTTGAAGGATAATAGACTTTTGATTTGTGTAATGAAAGCGCACAAGTTGGTAAGTTTGTATTAAAATATGAATTGCCTGAATTCCTCCCCCATCCCTAGTGCGAGCCCAGGAATTTTTGTGAAGATCAGCTACTGCTCCACAACATCCTCCTTGCCCTCAGCTTCTGCTTCCTCTTCCATGTCATCTGTATGCTACCTTTACCCCTTTGTTCTCCATCACTACCTGATCCCCAGTGACTGGGAAATGCTCTGGAGAGGCTATCCGGCCAGGTGTGGTATTGCTGGAAGACAAACACTGTGGGACATAACCTAGGAACCAAGTCCATCTAGCCTAGTATAGCTGACACAAATTGGCAGTGACTCTAGGATTTCAGTGGAATAGAGAGATGAAGTTTCCAAACATTGACAAAATATATGTCGTTTTATTCCTACATCTTGGCCCCAAGTATGGGCCCTCTTGCAGAGTCATTTTTAAAAAAAACCTTAAATGCCTACAGAGATATCTGGAAAAGGTCAGTCCTGCAAGCAGCGGATCCTGGTTTCCTACCTGGAGAAACTGATGATTGAAGCAGGAACTGTTTGCATGCGAAACAGGTGCTCTACCACTCTGCTGTGGCTGTCCCCCTTCAATATATGGCTGATGTGGGTGCAAACCCTCACATTTCTGTAAATACAGTGTTTGCCTACGCCCTAAACCCCATGCTATCAGGCATGCAACACCACCTCTGAGAGAGAAGGGATGTATCTATTTTGACTGAGCACTGGGGACATATTCTACCATAGCAGTTCTTAGCTGGAAGGGGAGAGGAGAAGAACAAAGGAGCACAACTCTGTTATCCAGAGCTAGTGAATTCCTAATGTTTTCCAAAACCTCATGTTTAATTCAGCTAAACATTAAAAATGTCCAAATGATGGATAGAGTTACAAAATGCATGCTGGTTTAAAGACCAGCACATCGGCTTATGTTTTAAATCATCCCTGCTCCTTATTAATGCATCTTAAGTACAGAGTCAGTATATAGCCTGATCACACAGTTTTCACTTGACTATGGGTGAGTGCAATGGACAATGAATGCTTCATGTTAAAAGCCTGGAGATCTTTGAAGGTACAGTAAGAAAGGGGTTCCTGTAACCTCCCAGTCCAGAGGCTCTGGCAGGGCCCTGGTGCAGTGCAGAGGAAAGGGCTGCAGGGCAGGCTGTACTTCGTTAACCGGAAATTATAATACAGAAACCCGCCCCCCATACTGAGCCCTTTCAATGTGTGAGTACCATTCGCTGATGCCATTCAGCTGATATTCCTTAGTTTTGCTGCAGGACACAGCATGCATTTCTTTTGCGTGACCATTGCTACTTCCACCAGCTTTCTCGTTTGTGCTGACACAGACAAGGCCCAGCAGAAACCATCCACAGGATGTTCTCAGTGGTGGGAGTGAAACGGGGGCAAGCAACGGCTGGCTGTTGCCAGTAGCACAGATAACTGCAAGGGTCATCGCATCCAGTCTTTGCCCAACAAGAACGGAAATATGCTGCAGTGCAACCCTTGCGGTGAGACTGTGATTATAATAGCAGAAATAGCAGTGGGCTGATATAACCCATTTTTGAACACTAAGAATTCTCAACAGCATATGAACACACAACACAAACATATCCAAAGATACAGAATATTTATTAAATTCCAAAAGTATACAATGGCAACTGGAAAATGCACAGGGGAAAAACATCCATATGTATTATTTGATATAATTTATCAAAGCTCTTGGTATTGAAAGAAACACACTGATTTGGAGTTCATAGATGTGGAAAAGCAGCAGCGTTTGTTTAGGGTAAATTTTGTGACATTTTTCTCCTCCTCCTAATTCCCTCTGAGTAGAAATGTCCAAGTGACTAAATGTTAGCACTTTGATAAGAAAGGGAACTTGCTGTAACCAAGAACAAGTTATAATGAAATTAACCACAAAACTGACCTGGAGCACTCTGAAGAGCAAGTTATATATATACATGCTAGATGAGACAGAATTTGTGGCATAACTGAATCTACCTAGAATGGGGTAGCTAATATCCAGTTGTGAATTCATTTCCAGAACCTCCTCATTTTTGCAAAAGAAAACTTTAGGACCATGTAAGGTTATAGATCAGAATGTCCATTGTGGAAACAGTTAATCCAGCTACAATTTGGCAGAAGGTCTTCTATAGTGACAGTGCAGCATCATCACCTTAGGAGACATAGAAGAGCTTTTGCTTACATTACTTGAGAAATGTTGCAGGTGTTTTTACCCATATGTAGGCAAGACCATTTAGCTGTATTACCAGCAGAGGCTTCTTTTCCTAGATCTGTCCATCATTATGTCACCACAGGGTGCTGACGGGGGAATGCCAAGGAGGGCAAGGATGGTGCTCGTTCTATGGTTGGCACACCGTGGTCATGGCCCACCATGAAGTGTCCAGATCAAGAGTGGGCAACTTGTAAAAAAGTGATGGGAATTATCAATGGTGTGAAACAATGGGAGTTGCAGTCGAGCCACACCTGAAGAGCTACGTGTTGCCCATTTCTGATCTAGAGCATTTTCGAACTGATGTCCATAAAAACAAAAAGGCTGAATAAACCTTGGCAGAAGGTACAATATCAACCAGATTAGAGCCTTTCCTCTCCTATTCTCTTGCTTGATGTCACTCTTTTCAAAGAAGATGCCAAGTTGCTTTCTTAAACCTCCAGTGCTCCTGTTACACAAAGGTCTAGCCATGCAAGCTCTGGCCTGAAGCAGAAATGTAGTCCACTCATGGTTATCTCGTCTCTGGCACAGGCACAGGGTGGTAAGAACTGCTTCCATCAACAGGATGGGGAGCTGAATGGGGAGCCTCTGCCACCTCCCATGCAGGGCTCTCGTGGGAGCAGACGTGAACGTGCTAGTGTGCAAGTGCACATTCACTCTCAGAACTTTGGATTCCCACTGCAGGCGCAGAAACACACGTGCCATTGCTAGCTTTAGAGCCCACCAATGTGGGATGTTTCTTGCAGAGGGTTTCAGATGTAACATGTGCATCACAATTTAAATATTTGCAGACACATTTTTAAAAATAACTTAATTTGTATCGTATGATATGGGGAAATGTATTTTTAATAAATAATATATCTGCAAAGCAATTTGGACAAAGAATTACTATGAACAATTAGAAAAATTACCCCAAAGTGCTACCGATAGTAGAGGAGGAGAGATTAGAGATAAACAATCTTTTCTTCGTTGCTGCCATGCTCGGAATCTTGTCCCATATCACAAGGCAGATTGTGCAGCAAAACATCTGAAAGGTGCAGTGGTTGAATATTGCCATGACTTGAACTGTGCGATCTTGTGCACTGGCTCTGCAATGCATTCATGTCTAGAACACAAAAATACACACAGGTTAAAACTGCAGCTCCACAAGTCACCCACACATACACTGGCAAATAATGAAGGATCCCATTTAATTAACCTCCCCTCCCCTCCCTTTCCCTCTCAAGAGACCTGTATTTGCTGTTGCAAGTATCTACCAATGCATATTTAAAACAAGCAAACAAACAAACAAGGTCACTTTCCTGGTGGCCCCTCAAATATTTCCTTCTTTTCAAAGCCACCTGCATTTGGCACCCTGTATGCAGTGGCCAAGCACACAGTGGTGTTTTAAGACAGGCTGTTTCTTGTTTAAGACATTTATATACCACCCATAATAATTAAAAAACAAAGTTAATCAACAAATAACACAAACAACAATTAAAAGAGTAGAACATAAGCTTAATTTCTAGTGTTTAATATATAGCATCCTTCCAATGCTAAAAATGCAACCCATTAAAATGCCTGGGACAGGACAGTAAAATGTCAAGCAATCTAGTGAGCATCCAGGAAATCATAGGATATACTGCATTCCCCTTCCAGAGGCTGTAGCCACTGCCATGACCTTGGGAGGAGGAGTCGATGCCAGATCGCCCCCTTGGCCACGGTGCTAGCTGTTCTTCTGAGGGCACAAGAGCAAACTTGGGGGAGAGCAAGGAGGCCAGCAAGGGATGTTCTGGCAGGCAGGAAGGGGAGAGCACAGGTGAGGATCCCAAGGTCCTGCAGCTTTTCGCTTTCCCATATCCACCTGCTGATTGTACCTTAGTTAGATGGGTTCAGAGGGTTTTGAGAGGCTGACTTGGGGGAGCGAAGGGGAAGCAAAATCACTTCCATCAGTTCTCCTGCACTGCCAGTAAAAGCCCAACAGGGCATAGGACTTTCAGAAGACTCCAAGTTTGAAGGCTTCTGTCTAACAGGAAACAATCTCATAAGGCTGCACCCTTAACCAGGTACATAAAAGAGCACAGACAAGCACCAGATAAGTAAGAAGAGAGTCACTGTACTGTAACAGGATTCCATCCCTTCACTATTTGGATGTTGTCTCCAACAAAGCACAACACAACACAACACTTTTCTACAGGAGCCCTCAGCAATGAGTCCTCCCAAACTAACCTTAATAATAGTTCCATACATTAAGATGTTGAACTGCAAATTCTACTCCTGCCCACACTTGTCTTTACTAAGCTGGTGAACATGTTCTTGCCAGGAAAGCAAACTTCCGCTACTATTTTATGTGGCTGCAATGAGTAAATTAGGATGTAAATGCACTCAAGTCTCCGCACTACATTTCCTTATTGTCAGGGATATGGAAGTGAAATTCACCACCATTCAGCTAGCCAGGTACTTCTGGAGAGCACAAGCCTGCTTCTGGTTCCAATCTAATCAAGCCTCAGCACTCAGCTTTGAACTGTTTATGAGAACTCTGAAAAGTAAATGGCATTGCATATGGAGTGGCACTGTAAAATCTAAGAAAAATCAGTCACTTGTACCACCACTCCTTTGCCTCAGCCTTTGCCTTTTCTTTGGTGTGCGCCTGGGAACTGACCTTCTGATGTGTCACATACAATCATTACACAGACACATACCACTGAGTCTGAAAGTGTTCTAACGATAGCCTAAATTCAGTCCCATCTATTCCACTGGAACACTGCAGACAACCCAAAGTACATGTACTGCTTTTCCAAAATTAGGGCAAATTTCAGGCAGAGTTAAACACTTTCAGTTTAAACAGAGGAATGAAGCACACACTTCAATCCTTCCTATTAATTAACCCTTTTTAGTTGACCACTAAATTGAACTGAACCCAAATCTTTTCCACTGAAGTCTAGAGGAATTGAAAGTACTTAACACTGTCTGGATCATGTCCTTAATGAACAAAATGGTGGGACAGGATCCAGTACTGCTACTATACTTCATTCATGCAAGACCTGCCACTATTTTTTATTTATTTCATTTTTATACTACCCAACAGCCCAAAGGCTCTCTGGGCAGTTAACAAATACTGACAATAATTAGAGAGCCAATGTGGTGTCGTGGTTCAGAATGTGGGACAGACTGAGGCAATCTGGGTTCTAGTCTCCACTCAGCCAAGCAGCTGACTGGGTGACTCTGGGCCAGTCACAGACTCCCACCCTAACCTGCCTCACAGAGTTGTTGTGGGGACAATATTGAGAGCAGGAGGAAGAGAGTGATGCACGTCACTTCGAGTTCATTGTAAGAAAAAAGTGGGACAGAAACCAATTTTCTTTTTTGGAATGACTCTCATCGGTAAAATTTTATTTCCAAGGTACTCCTCCTCATCAGTTTCTGAAAGATTAAGTTTATATGCTCAATACGTTTTGCTCAATACTAGTGCAAGGGTGTGCCAATGCAGCCTAAAGTAAGCCCAGATACCAGCAGAAACACTTGTTTCTGGACAAGACAGCTCAGCAGGGCGTCCTTTTGCAAGCTCTGCTGGCGTGCCCCGTTTTTCAAATGGCCATTTCTGCGTGCCTCCGGAACATCTACAGTAACTCTCTATTGTGTTAGCAGTAAGCTCCACCAGAAGGTAGACAGCATTGGAAACTGCCTGTGGACAGTAGGACATGAATACTATATTCAAAGCAACAGAATATCTTGTGTATTGCAACAGACAATAGAACAGCCGTGGACAGTAGAATACCATTTCAGTGCCAGGACAGCCAGATAAAGCTGGGGCAGTCTAGGCATGACTTCAAGGAACAAAGCTGTAATTCTAGAATGACCGAAAACATAGGACTAGGTTCATAAAGCATATGCTGAAAAGTATCATATAAATGAATAATTAACCAAGGCTTGAGCATTGAGGAATCTTCTGTTACAACAGTTTTCAATTTCAATTATTTTCTTGACGTTTCAAAAACAATTGTTTCGGAAACAAAGACTTTTTGATCTGCTGGAGAAACTGTAGAAAAATGGTTCCTGGGCTATACCCCTTCAGACTTAGGGGCAGAGGGATTGTGCAATATAGCATTGTCCCCATACCCTTCTGGGGTGGGAATAACACACCCACAAAAATGGAAGGTTTAGGTTTAGGCTAGGTTCAAACACTTCTCCCTGGGGCCTTAATTTTCTGGACATAAGCAATATTAGGGGATGAGCAAAAGCTGGACCCCCATCTTGCAATCTCTAGTACAGGCCAGGAAGTTCTACTGTATGCTCAGCTCTCTTCCTTTTAACCAGTTTCTTCGGGAAGATTAGAGCTTCAGGATACTATTATAATATGGCCTTATTCAGTCAATTTCTAGGAAATAATTCATGCTCATTCTTTAATATTTCACTGACACATATTTCTAAAGAAACATATTTTAGGGGCCACTGACTATAATACAAGAGAGAATGCCAGCCATTTTATACCTTCAAAGGCAAATTGAGGGTCCTCACACAAGCAAGTGTGGGTTGTCTGCATTTGTCTAGTGAGGGTTGCAGTTTCACACACACACATCCCCAACACACACACACAAGAATTTGTTTGGAGTTTGATTTGCACTTCACCTTGATATTTAGGTATTTGTTTTTTTGGTGATACATCTGAGTTCACTCCTGGATTCCTAACATAATTGTCATTGGCCAAGTTCTTCTTGCTGTTCACATTTTCAGTGCAATGGCCTGTGAAATAAGACAGTGCTGTTTAAATGTACCCATATTTTCTTAGAATATCATTTCAAAAGTAGCACCAACAATATAAAAGATCAACACATGAGAAAGCCGAGAATGTTGCTATTAAATGCACGTAATGCTGCCTTTTCTAAATACATGGCATAACTGCAATTTGGACCCCTCCAAATCATGGAGAGTTTCTTTGTGGGTACTATCCTGACATTCAGTACAATACTCTGGATCTTTTGGGGTTGTTTTGGCTCACAAGACTCTGAAAATCTCAGGATGCTCCCTCTATGATGTCTGACTGCAGTTGATTAAAACTATACATACATATGTATGTATATGCACACATACAGGTACATGTATATTCATGGTTGAACTTAAAATAGTCATCATTTTGGAGTACTTCCTATAAGAAAATGATGCTATTACCTAACCTGTTTTTAAATCTGTACTACTAGTTAACTTAGAAAGCACTACCAAAGGCTGAAAAAAGAATGAATTTAGTGGTTAAACTATGAAGACCAAGAGGTATAGGTGTACACCTGGAATAGAAGAACAGATCCATCTTCAGGCCATCTTCTACCCTTGCCCATATCAAGGTATACTGCTTGTTGCATGTTTATTATGGCAGTGCTTTCTGTGGTTATAACTTGGTCTCCAGGGAGAAACATGGGCTCCCACTAGCAATTCTGCAAAATGGGACTGAACTCCTGAACCTTTAATTCTGCCCAGTCTACCCCTTCTTCAACTTTTGCTCCATAAAAAGGGATTGTAACAATCCACTGCTTCTCAGAAGAAGAGAAAATCAACTAGTTAACCATGTAATGATAGAGTTTGTGTGTAATAATGATAGAGTTCATTTTAACATCATAGGATTAGTAGGCTATGCTATTTGAGAGCACAGAAAGTGTCTAAGCACAGAATTAGTGAACTGTTAAGTATTACTGGTGGGGGGAGAAGACAAATGATAAAGCCAAGTTTAAGAAATGAATGTTTTCCACTTGATTTAAATAGCAAAGATTCAGGAACAAATTAAAATAATTTGTTTGGAAATGGTTTCTCATGTTCTTGGCCCTATCAATGTTTGTGTTTGTGGGGTAGCAGGAGACAGGAACAGAAAAGAACAACCTACACATCCCAAGTCAATGCCAACCAAGCTAATAATGATTCCATTCAAAATATTGCAGATTTTTGCCTCCTTTAACCATTGGTAACCTCCCACAACCTAACAAGTAGCAGTGATCTCAACAACACTGCAGATTGCCAGGCAGCAACAATAAGTTCTTAAAGATAAACTACATCCAAAGGCATGGCAACATCTATGGTTCTGATGCATTAGCATTTTTCTCTGGTATTACCATCCTTTGTTAACTCATTTTTAGCAAGAATCCAGATGATGTCTGGGTGATATCAAGCTGTTGTAATCTGGTGATTTCTGCATTGTCCTCTTAGGTCTTTCAGAACTGGTTTGCAGTTATTTGTTGATTAAAACAGTTATTTGCAATACCAGCCTGTCTACTATGAACAAGCTCAACACTACTGAGACTTTTCAGAGCTCCTGTATATAGCTCCTGTCTGTTTTAATCAGGTGTGTGCACCAGATTTGGCCCAAGCCCAAGCTGAATTGAGCCCTTTCAGACCATTTCAGGTGCTTTCCAAGCCAAAGTAGGTGTCTCTCTGAAGTGACTAGGAATGAAATTGGACCTTGTCCCAAGTTTTGTCTAAAAGTTGGACTTTAAAAAGGGAGAGTGTTTATCTGTCTCATATACATATACACATACATACATATATCCATTTAGTTTTAGTTTCTCTGTAAACACAGAGGGTGGGGGGACAGCCTATTCTTCTGAAATTTATGAAGAGCCGCCTTCAAACTGACTTGGCCTTTTCAAAATTAGGAAACTACAACTGTCCTTTGTTGGTTGAAGTTAAAATGCCAAGACTGCCTTTACACAACAATTCCTGTACCTATTTATCTGAACTTGCACTCTCAATCCTCTTAGAAAGAGAAATTTCATCAAATTCTGTCAGGAAATAAACAATTTATTTAAAAAATCAGAATATGATTATGTGTAGTTCAAATCCCCTGCAGCTATGTTTCTGAAATTGGTGGGAATAATGCCCTTCTAAGAGACTACTATGCCTGCTAATGTCATTTCATTATAGCAAAGTGGGGGGGGGGGAGATGCAAATTTTAGGGGGTTTTTCATGCTAGTCAACAGGAGGCATGAGGCTTCAATATTTCCAAATCTCATCTCAGGTTCTGTACCAGAGCCAAATTGGTCTCAGCCAAATTGGACTGTTTTCAAATGTGCTAAATGGGGGGTCTAAATTGAATTCTGTGGTAGGTGTACCACTTTAATATTAAATGTTTCATGATGTTTGTGGCTGTAGGATCAGTGATGACATGGCCACAAGCACCGAGTTTCAACTGCCCACGTGGGAAAGAAGATGTATTGATTATTTCCTCACTGGTTTGTGTGCATGTGTTTGTTTAAAAAATAGCACTGTTTCAGGCCATTGCTGGAACCGTATGAAGTGCTATAATCTTACATCCAGCTAATTATGGAGAAGCATGGCCACAGCAGTACAAATGAGGAAGCAGTGAGACTGGAAACAAAGGGAGGTACACAGTGACTGGAAAGGCTTATTTGGAGAGCTGCTGCCAAACACGGCACGATGGCTCGGTGCTCTGGCTCAAGGAAAGGCACCTTCATTACTACCCAAGCGGAAAGGATGCTGAGATTGCTAAAAGGACAAAACTAGAATCAACTCTAGGTGTGACAGCAGTTTATGGTGACTCCGGAATTAGCACTTAGTAGCACTTAATAACAGCTTCAAAGGCTTAACTGACAACTTGCCAAGGTATCTTTCCAAATGAACTGTCTGTTCCCAGGAGGATGGTTTATATTGGCTAGCAAAGTTATATCCTCAGCGCTGGCTGCAAATTCCCCTTGGGGACACCCCAGCAAGCCTGATACAGTTCATCAGTAGCAGCAGCACTTGGAAAAGCTGGAAGAGGTGATGTGTCCTGCCTTGTGTTCTCTGTGCTAGAGGTCTTGGGAAGCCTTACCATAGTCTGTGCAGGTGTTTTTCCTCTGAAGGCTTATGCTTATCCTAGGAATTTGGCCTTAATGAAGTTCTGTATTCAAGGTATCTGCATTCAGAAATAAAAGTTTGGCATAGCCCTTTTTGCAGCACACATTTCACAACCTTTTTGGATACAACCATGTTCCACATAGTGGGGCATTTCCTCAGTGATGCACAATGAAATTCTAACCAGCCTGACACATACACCTTCCGTGAAACTCAGGAGAATGCATACACAATGAGAAGGAATTGATCCAGTAAAGCCTGAAGTGTATCTTTCCCAGGGATTGCCATGGCAACTCTAGTCTGAAAAACATCTGATCTCAGGGAGGTGCTGGCAGTGTTTAGAATTTTAATTATTTGATTTTTGTTTTTAAAGGAACAGATTGGAAAATAAGGGTGTCAGCAACCACTTTATAGCAAGTCAGACCAATGGTTCATGCAGCCAAAGTCTACAAGTGCCTGTTTTGCCTCAGGCAAAAATCTTTTTCAGTCCTACCACCTGATACCACTTAACTGGAGTGGGATGGGTTGATCCTATAACTGCAGTCATGCAGGGCACACTGGGAGCTGCTTTATACCAGACCAGACAATGTCTATCTAGCCCAGAACTGTTTGGCTCTCCTGGCAGAGGTCTTTCTCTTTCTTCCTTTTTACAAAAATGGGGATGCCAAGGAATGAAGCTGCATGTACACACAGGTACACACACATGCATAAGTATGTATACACATGTGTTCCAGCAAGCCTTATCAAGTTCATCAGTAGCAGCAGCAGAGGAAAATTACCTGCCTAAGAATCTCTTAGGGAGGAAAGAGGCTACCTGCAGGCAGTAAGCTCAGGGGCAGTGCACAAGTCAGTGCACTTTGACCGCTGCAAGTTATATATCTGATTTGAAAAAGCACCAGAAAGGCACTAGTATGAACAAAGGAACCCTTGATGGCCATTTTAAAGAGCAAGTGAGCATTTAGTGTTGCTTTTAGCAACTGACATTAGAGAATGCCTCCTCCTCCTCCTCCTCCTCCTCCTCCTCCACCACCACCACCACCACCACCACCACCCTCTCCAAATCTGACTTTTAGGTCTTCTTCACACAGACTTTCCCTGAAGTGTGACCTGGCCAGCTATGGTTTGCAGGCCATAGTGCAGTTGTACTGTGGATTATTTTTGCACTGGGCTGTTGACTCTTCTTTTGATGCCATTGTATTTTACATCCACTGCTTTGATATCTTTTTAGAAAACGGCATGCCAATTTGAGTAATAAATTACTCATAAATACAAGCCTACCACCTGGTTCACAAAAGCACAACATGGTCTGAAAGTGAAACCGTCACATCCAAAAGTGGAATGGGAAGGCCAGTTGCCCCCATGCTTCTTGGAAGCAGCATAGCAAGGGACAGATGCTGACGTACCTGGCAGGTAGCATGTTACAACCAAAGCAGTTATTCTGGCAAGACCTTTGCAAGGATAAGAAATCTGCACTCGGGTGTAGGCAGTTTATACACTTGCTAGGTTAGGACAGCAGTGCTAAACATAACTGTTAGGGAAGCATACCTGGAAATAAACGGGACTTTTTTCCCATTAAAGTTACAAAAGTCTATGGTACCTTCATAGCAACTATTCATGTATCTGCTCATCTAACAAGTGACAAATCGTGTGTGTGTGTTCACAAAGTTACTTTTAAAGTTGACTTGATTTTTCTTACTGTACCATAACTTGTCAATTGTTTTGTTACAGCACTGAAACTTGTCCTATCTGATCTAACTCAACAGCACACCCAAGAGGCTGACAGGAAGAGCTCGACGAAATGGGAAACTGTTGTTGCTGTTCCATATTTTAGAAAGGGCTATGAAGGTCATCCAAAACCCCTGCCATGCCGTTGTTTCCGTCCCACTGCAGGGACACATTACTGATGC